TTGGACCCTTAGGGTATTGGTACATAGGACCCTTTGGGTGGCTTGCTTATGTCACAGCCGGACATAAGTGTAGATCTCCCAGGTGGACGCTCAGCTTCATCTTCGATGCCCTTGTCCCCTGCGAGGCCCGTTCATCACCAGTTGGGAGTTTCCGAAAATTAGGGGCACCGTATTTTGGCGTCCTTATAAGGATCCTACTATTTAGGGTATTCTATGAGGGTCCCCTATTTTCGGAAACTCCCAGTTGGATTTATTGGACACCATCGGTAAGTGTTTGTAACGCCCCAGGTCTGTCAAAAACGGGGCTGAGCAGCGAGTAATCGCAACCCGCTATAGTCCTGTTGAGCTATACCACCCCCCCAAAACCCTGTCGAGTTGTTAGTATACGGCCTCTTTGCAAGGCCCCTATAGACACGCATGAATCCTTCCGGATAACTACAAACCCGCACCCAGAGCCTCCAAAACCCCAATATTAAGGAAGATACCGTCTTAAATTATAATAGGAGCCCTAATCTGATTTTAAGGTATATTCCTTAATTAAGGGGTTTTGGAGGCTGTTAACTTGCTTAACTGGCCGTTTCAGCCTATAAACGGAAATTTGGTTTTCGAGAAGTGTTTTTCACTTGGTGGGATGGGTAAGCGTCGGATTTGGGGGCCACGCGACATCCAAAACACTTCTTCCCTTTTTCCGTGTGCCAGCGGTGGTGAAGTGGTAATATGGCAGTATGGCGGTACTAATAGTAGTAATAGTAGTAATAGTAGTAGGAGTCGGCTGGTGAATTTTGCGTTTTTTTTTCGGCGGGCGTGCGGCGCGTGTGTGTGTGTGTGGGTGTGTGTGTGTGTGTGTGTGTTTTCGTGGCGTAAGTTGGTGGCGGTGTTTCCACAATGTCGAAAGTTAATTCTTTCCCCCCATGACTCACATGTGTATATGTATATGTATATATATATATATATATGGGTCTGTCTTTGTTGGGGGGGTTGAATTTGTAGTCTTGGGGGAGTGTTGTCCTTGCGCGAAACACACCCCGAAACATACCCCGAAACATACCCTGAAACATGCCCCGAAACATACCGCCTGAAACATACCCCCGCGTTATTCAAATCGTTTGGATGAAGTTAGCAGCGGGCGAAGGTCTAGAGTAGCTCAACCCAGGTCAGGAAAGGTTTCCCGTAACATACCTGTAACATACCTGAAACATACCCGAAACATACTTGGATTTGCTCCAAATGGCCCGTTGGCCTTTTCCGCTTCGAAGCGATACTAACCGCCTGACAAGTCGGGACCTTCCAGACCTGCAGCCCACAACGATGCCTGTACCAGTACTGCAGCTATTGTCACTACTACTTCTACTACTTCTACTACCACCTGTTCGCATTTTGTTTTGGTTGGAAAAATTGTTTTTTTTTTTTTGACTGATTTTTTTTGGTCGAACTTTTTGTTTTTTTGGTCCGAAATTTTTTTTGGTCGGATGATTGATTTTTTAGTCCGAAAAATCTTTTTTGGTCGGATTTTTGATTTTTTAGTCCGAAAAATATTTTTTGGTCGGATTTTTGATTTTTTTGGTCCGAAATTTATTTTTGGTATGATTTTCTTCTTTTTTGGTCCGATAATTTTTTTTTGGTCTGATTTTCGATTTTTTGGTCCGAAAATTTTTTTGGGTCGGATTTCCTTTGTTTTGGTCCGAAAAATCTTTTTTGGTCGGATTTCCTTTTTTTTGGTCCGAAAAAAATTTGTTGGTCGGATTTTCGATTTTTTGGTCCGAAAATTTTTTTGTGGTCGGATTTTCGATTTTTTGGTCCGAAAAATTTTTTTTGGTCGGATTTTCGATTTTTTGGTCCCAAAAATCTTTTTTGGTCGGATTTTTGTTTTTTTGGTCGCCTTTCTGTTTTTGGCGCCGAAAAACACTTCTTGAGGATGGATTTTACCTTGAAAAAACACTTCTTTTGTATGAAAAAAAGGTTGAAAACACTTCTCAAATTATTTTTCGGCGTGAAAAAACAAAATCCGACCAAAAAAGATTTTTTCCGACCAAAAAAATTTTTTCGTACCAAAAAAAAGAAAATCCGACCCAAAAAAAATTTTCGGACCAAAAAAAGAAAATCCGACCAAAAAAAATTTTTCGGACCAAAAAATCGAAAATCCGACCACAAAAAAAAATTTTCGGACCAAAAAATCGAAAATCCGACCAACAAATTTTTTTCAGACCAAAAAAAAGGAAATCCGACCAAAAACGATTTTTCGGACCAAAACAAAGGAAATCCGACCCAAAAAAATTTTCGGACCAAAAAATCGAAAATCAGACCAAAAAAAAATTATCGGACCAAAAAGAAGAAAATCATACCAAAAATAAATTTCGGACCAAAAAAAATGAAATCCGACCAAAAAAGATTTTTCGGACCAAAAAAAAATCCGACCAAAAATTATTTTTCGGACCAAAAAAAATCAGACCAAACAATATTTTTCTGATCAAAAAAAGGAAATCCGACCGAAATATGATTTTTCGGACCAAAAAAAGAAAATCAGACCAACAAAGATTTTTTCGGACCAACGAAGCAAAAATCCGACCAAAAAAAAATTTTCGTACCAAAAAACAAAAATCCGACCAAAATAAATTTTTCGGACCAAAAAAAATAAAATCCGACCAACAATTTTTCGGACCAAAAGCAAAAATCCGACCAAAAAAAAATCGTACCAAAAAACAAAAATCAGACCGCAAAAGATTTTTCGGACCAAAAAAAAATCTGACCAACAAATATTTTTCGGACCGAAAAAAAAGAAGATCCGACCAAAAAAGATCTTCCGTCAAAAGAAATAAAATCCTACCAAAAAAGGTTTTTCTTACCAAAATGACTAATATCCGACCAAAATTAATTTTCCGACACTCCCCAATCAGGCCCTTGATCACGCTGGGGGTCGGGGTCGAGTCGGGGCATTGTGAGCCTCTAAACTCCGAGTGCTGCTGTGCTTAAAAGATGAGCGTTGACGAGTGGAAGTCTGAAGAGTTTCGTTTGTTTCAGTTGCTCCACCCATGCTTAATTTGAAATTCTTTTGGTAGGCCCCAAAGATTCAAGCATCCAAAGCGCCCCCCCAACCCCCAAACACAAATGTGACATATGAACCTTGTAATCCTGCCCCCCTTGCTTTCTGAGCCCTCATCACTGGCCCGTCACACACAAGATTTAAGAAGTGTTTTCCCTGTTTGCGGCAACGTGCAAAACACTTCTTGGTTTTTAACCCTGCAACAGAGCTCGAAAACACTTCCTGAACCCAAACCGCCAACACACAAGCAAGTTAACATTGGAGGCTCTGGGACCCGCATTCGCACCAAAAGCCCTTCCCTAAACCCCCTACAATTAAGAGCCCACCTGCTGGGCTCGCTGGGAAGCCCAGGTCCTGGTCCACATCGGCCGTGGGTGCAGTCTTGAGGTTAGGTCGCCGCTCCCTCTTCCGGAGCAAGGCACGGGGAATTTGTTTCTTATTTATGATATATCAGAGTGATGCTGAGGAAGCCTGTACACTCCAAGATAATGCGATGGAAGAGGGCGAAGGGTTAGATTTACGCAGGGTCAGTGTTTCGATTTTGGGATCGCGGGTTCACGGTTATGTTGTAGGTTTGGAGATTCATTGTTGAGAGTTTAGGGTTTAGGGTATGTACAGACTCAGAACCTCAGCGATGGAGGTTCACAGCTTGCTGCTGGGAGCTAAACCGTACACCCTACCCCACGGCATGGGGTTCAAGTACATCTGGTGAAGGTTTAGAGTTTGGGATTTAGGGTTTACCCTACTTTTTTTGTAGGTTCTTATTATATAAACCCTAGTATGGAAATTATAGGGGCCCTACAAAAAAGTAGTTTTGGTAGGTTAAGGTAGGGTTTAAGGGTTTAGGGTTTAGAGTTTCGGATGATTTTGGTGCTTGGTTCTGCTCACGTCTGGGTAGAGTATTCGGAGCTTCCTGCATGACGTTTACTGTCGCAACTGTTGTGCCGGCACCGCTGTTTGGGCTCAGCCGTGTGAACACGAGACCGCCATAGCTTAGGGACCCAAAAAAGCACATAAGCACCAGCATTTTATAGGGATATCCAGACCTGAATGGGCTTCATTATAAGGGGCTTATATGGGATATCCCTATCCCGATTTTTGCTGCTGTTTTGGGGCCCTAATAGCTGGCAAATGTGTCCCCAGCTGCATCGGCTCGGGGCCCCGAGCCCGGGAATACCTAGCCAAGATGCAATCCTAGGTTCCTGAGTAGTGCCCTTTTGCCCTTTTTAGTTTAGGGTCCCCTTATTAAAAACCGAATAGTAGGAAAAAGGGTAGCCTTATCATAAAGGGGTTACTCAGAAACCTAGCACACCTGCGGTTGATGATATAAATCCTGCATTACCTTATAAGGACCCTTAACTATGGGAATTCTGGTATATTCCTTATTTTGGGTCACGCAGGATTTATGTCATTAACCGTGGGGTTCCAAAAGCCTACTGTTTTTAGGTGTTAGACCCTGTAATTGAGGGGTCATAACCCACTATTTTGTCGAGTTTAGAGATACAGGCACGGCCCAGCCTTTCCACAGCAACCCACAACACTCATACCGCCAAGGCTCGATTAGATGAACGGATGACAGGAGTTCTTCCCTCCGCGCAATCCTTCGGAACATGTCCATACATGAACCTGCTGCCTGAACACCAAGCCCTGGAATCAAACCCTAAACCGGTTTAGGCTTTAGGGGTTTAGGGTTTAGGAAGTCCGCAAAGAGGGGCTAGGGCTAAGTGCCCGAGGAGTCTAGACGTCTAGAGCCGAGCCCCCACCGGACGCCCGAAATCCTAAGAACGGAGCCTTAATAATCACTATTATGCTATTTTGGGGGGGTGCTCACTGTACTTGTAGTATAATGGGCCCGTTTTTTTATTCTAATTATTAAGGCCCCGTATATTAAACCCCAAACCCACACCAAGCCCTCCGAATGTTCAGGAAAGTAGGCCGACATAAAACTATTGTCGAAGCGATGGACGTGGCGTCTGGAGTCCAGTTATACCTGGGATGGGCAGGTCAGATCATTCTGCTGCTTGGGCTCGCAATGTTAAGGTTCACCTGTGACAGGGCTGAAAAAAAGGTCGGGGGGTTTGGCGTACGAAGTTTTGGGTGTTGTGCTTGGGGCTACACTTGAAATGATAGCATACTCGACCTGTGGTTAAGGATCTGTCCAGATGGGGGTCCGAGTTGACGTTTCGACCGCCATACTTAAAGCTTGGTGACGGCGAGGCATTTTCAAGCTGGGTAGAAAGTGTCTGGAGCCACCATGCAAGGCTTTGGCTGCTGGCCCCCCTGTGGCTGCCCGCCTGCCTCGTCTTCCTGGGCTGCACACTGACATGGTCGCTGATCTTCAACTTGCGCAAGGCCAAGTATGACACTTGGCATGGATAGCCGGCGCTGCGATGCTGTAAGTAGAGTTATTATTAGGGTAACTATACTTATAACCACAATGAGGGTACTTATAACCTTACTTACTAAGCCCCATGATCCTCCAAGTAGCAGGGCGCAACCCAAGCCCGACAACCTGAATTTATGGATACACACAGTCTGCACAACTTGGCATATTTAGTTAGACAATGACAGCATCCCCTCGTAGTACCAATGTGCATAGCCTAGAATGCTAGGCTCATCAAATCTCAACGCCTTCGAGGGCCCCGAACCCTAAACCCGTTGGGCTCTCCAGTCACCTGAGGAATTGAAGATCACCAAAGAGGTGGGCTGGGCTGCAAGAGTTTGCCCTGACAGGTTCATGCATGCCTACATATGCGGCCTTACAGTTTGTGGACTTATTGGGTTTCGTAGGATTAGAGTAAGGCTTCAGACATGTTTACAAAGAAATGTTGCGTGCTGGAAGAGTTAGCTAGGTTAAACCCATGAAATCGTGACCCCACGAGCTTCGGTTCAGTTACCAATGACAAATACTTAACTTTTGGCTTTAGTGTAGGGTGTACAGCCTTCATCCATTGTTGGAGATGTTCTGATTCCCACATCATTTGGTAATTGACCATGAAACATAACGTTTTATGTCCATTTGTCTGGAACTGCGAAGCCTAAAAACCCTGAGCCCTGCAACCCGGTGGAACCTGGATTACATACCTAGCAGGTGAGCAGGTAACCTTTAACCTTTCTTGGGTAGTATAGTCCCTATATAGCCAAAAAGGTTAACCCTTTAGTTCCCCATGATACCCGACAAAAAGGCACCAGATTGATTGTGAGGTGTTGCCACCCGATGCAAAGTCAGCCACAGTGACCACGCCGGATGGTGCCTTGGCACCACGACATGGAGGACTCTTTCTATTGAGCCCGATTACCCCAAACTAAACACTCCATACATCGACCGTCAAAAAGAAGTGAGCCTTCTGAGTAGCTTGGTGAACATTTTCATGAAAAACAGGGCTCTGGGCTTTCTGGGCTTAGAGTTCAGGGCACACAGCATTTACCACAAGGGCCTTAAGGATTACCTAAAGTAGCTTGGGGGCCCCTTATTATATTATAGTATCGTGGCCCCCCCCCAAAGCCCTATTCTAGTTCTTAAGGCCCCTACAGTATATTCTAGGATACCCAGTAGTACCCTTATTCCCTTTTTGTAGTCCTAGGTTTCTTATAAAGTTACCCAATACCAAAAAGAGAGGCCTTTTTATTCTTAGGTTACTGGGTATCCTAGTTATTATATATTCCCAGAGTTCTCGGAGTCGCCACTCCGCTGATTGGCGAAGGAACGAAACCCGATGTCGATTCCCTTATGCAAGCTGATCCCAAGACTGGGACCCGTAACATCTGTAGTGAGAGTCAAGTGAGAGAATCGAAATTCGACCGACTCCGCGTTTCGACAGCATTTCTGACATTTCGCAAAGCCTGTTCGGCTCTTGTGAAATTTCCCTGTCTTGAAGAGCCGTGTTGACATGTCCTCATGCGAGCGTAGTTTTTGTGTTAGTTCTGAACGCACCCTGTACGACAGACGTCTTGGGCTCAGACCAAAAAGTGTGCTCGTTTGTGTGGTTGGACACTCACTAATCCAGTTCCTGCTTCAAACTGGTAGCGGAGCTGTGAGGACAACCACTAGTGTTTCACCCCCGTAGAGCCTGTGGTCCGGGGTCCGTTGGGTAGAGTAGTGATAGTCGCGGCGCAAAGGCCCCTTCTATCTCGAAGCCATGAGCGTGGCAGGTTTGCGTTACCAGCCCAATCTCTGGTCACAGAACCTGAGCCCTGCAGAAACCAAAAGCGGGTCGTACATATACGACGGTACGGCTGCTGGCTTCCATGATTGGTGCTTCCGGACACAGATCCGTGTGCTGCAGCATAAGGAGAAGCAGCGGCGCGAAGCTCTTAAGGACCTGCGTTTTGCCGAGTCGGCAAGGGCCAAGAGCGAGTCACCAAGGAAGTGGCGTGGCAGGGCAAGTCAGGGGACCAGCGCATCGCCCACAGATGGTGATGGAAGCAGCGGTATACCCGCCAGTCCGTCCAGCGCAAAACGGACTAAGCCCGCGTCCGAGGCAGAAGATGAGGATGCGGAGTCGCTACCGTCGCACCCCAGCCAAGTGGCGGGCGACGATGAACAAGAGCCGGACACAGATCCGGCGGTGTACACCTTGCAAGACGTCAAGGACGAGTCGCTCGACATGAGCGAATGCGTTAGCAAGATCCTAGAGGGTCTCCGAGGAGATGCCTTTTGCATCGCTCGCGACGTCGGCCTGGAACGTCTGCTTCGCCATGACGGCGTCGACTACCTGATAGAAGAAATCAGGAGGCAAGCCTTCCCTCTTCAATCCGAAGAGGCGTCCGAACTTTTCCGTCAGGGACAGCTCCTGACGGGTCCACTTGCAAAGCAACCCGGCGAGCCTATGTTGTCTTACATAGCCCGCCGAAAGCGGTGGTGGTCGACCTTGCGTGAGCTGGATCCTGATATCCGCCTTTCTGAAGCAATGAGGGCTAATCTCCTTGTTGAGCTTTCAGGGTTGGAAAGGTCCGAGCAGCTAATGGTCAAGACCGCCGCCCGCGTACACAGCGTGGATGAGTACGCACGCGTCCTTGTTCAGCATCACTCAGTGGTGCACATGAAGGAACGTCTTCTTACCCAGAAGGACCCTAGTGGCCCAGGTAAGACCTGGAGACGTTTCGACGCTAAGCCCCAATACCCTAAGTTCGGCTATATGGGGTATGATGGTAGTGCCGCAGAGTATGGTTACCAGGAACAACAGGAATCCGCGGAAGGCTACGGTGACGGCTACGGCGAAGAAGCATACCAGGCCACAGCGTCTGGGGGAGATGATGCGGATGAATGGATTGATGATGAGGATCTAGCATTGCAACTCAACGCCTATACGGCAGTGGCATATGAAGCTGAGATTGACGATTTGGATGATTCCTATGCCGAGTCAGTTCAGCTTGCGTACGCGGCACAGACCGCCTTTGCCCAGGCGAAAGGAAAAGGAAAGGGGAAGAACAAGGGCAAGTCCCCCGGAAAATCCGGAGGGAAGGTCGTGCGTAGCAATTTGACCATTGCTGACCGTAAGGCCAAGTTAGCAGAGCTTAAGGCAAAGAGTAGGTGCCTGAAGTGCGGTGTGATCGGCCATTGGGCCGGAGATGCTGCCTGCAAGTTTAGCGGTAAGGGCAACGGCCCCAAGGGCACCACAACCCCAGCACAGTCTGGGGGAACTGCCAACGCAGCCGCAAAGTCGGCGGCGCCGAAGCCTCAGGCGTATTTCGCCGCAGTGGAGGAGGATGACACAGAGTGTGTCCATCTGTCGAATGCGAGCGCTGGTAGGCTCGAGGGTTACCCAGCCAACCTTGAGCTGACTCCCTCAAAGACCAATACCGGCAAAGGCCGCGGCAATGAAACCCTCTTCTCACCACAGCTTCGGCGCACAGCCGCCGCTAGGATCATGCGTGACAGCCCGCCTGAGGGTTCCGATCGCGTTTTCTCCTTTGGTCAGCATAAGGGTCTGACTTATGAGCGTGTCTTGTATACGTTTCCTGGGTATGTTCTTTGGGGACGCACGCAGAAGTGCCCATCCATAAATTTGGCCGATTTCTTGGATTGGGTCACGGAGTACTTTGATGTGCGTGATGATAACCCCATTAGCATCACGAGAAGGGATGTCCCTCTCAGCCAGGAACCCCCGCCTGAACCCTTCCAGCCCGAGGTTCGCCTCGCCGCGTCAGCTGCTTCGTCCAGCGAAGGCCCCCGGAAATGCCGGGGAGGTTGCAAGGAGTTCAACAAGTCGGGGAGTAACGCATACATAGACATGCGGACCTGTAAGAAATGCGGCACCGTCACCAAGACGAAGAAAGAGAAGCCTGTCATAGATCAGGCCACATGCCCCCACACCTCCACCGAGAGGTCGGGTAGCAGTAGGAAGACCTCCCGCATTAAATGCAAGCTTTGTGGGATGCTTCTAGATGAGCAGCCGCAGACCGAGCGAAAGGCTAGGGATGACGCAGCCACAGTGCTGCGGGAGTCCAACACCCTGGACTTCGATCTTCTGCGCAGCATAGTCGGCAGCACGGGGGATAGCCTCCCCGTAGAGGTAGTAGTTCCGGCTATTGCCCAGTTTCAAGAGACCATAGAGGGTCACTTCGTAACCGAGCCCGTGATATCCCGCGGTGACCTTCTCGCATACCTGCAAGAGGCCTTAGACGATCACTCTGCGCCATCGACCAACAACAGTTGGGAAGTGGCGTCGGCGAGATCGCGCTCCTCGAGGGCCTCCGCGACGAGGCACGCCTTCGTGGCTTTCACTGAGGGGGTCACAGATATCCATCCGGCTTTGGTTGATTTGCCCGTAGTAAATATCTACGAGGATAAGCACGTATACGCCGTGTTGGATGAGGGCTGTAACTCGACTGTTCACGGTAGCGATTGGATAGCAAACGCGGCGGGGAAACTTGCGAACTTCGGTTACAGCACGAGGTTTAAACCTGAGGGCAATCGTACCTTCAAGGGTCTTAGCGGCGCTACCGAGACCTTGGGTAGCAGGACCATACCTTTCTCTATAATGGGATTGGAGCAGGACTTGAGAGTTCCGGGCGTCCTTGATTCACATGAGATTAAGGGTACAGCCCCTCTCCTTTTGTCCCTTTACGCGCAGGCCCAGCTTGGTATAACCAAAGATCTTCGGTTTGGTGAGTGTGGTGTTCGACTTCCTTCTGAGGATAGCATCATTAGGATCAAGCTGTGTCGGACACATGACTCAGGGCTGTTATGCATAAACATAACAGAAGGCTTGACCCAGGTGAAACAACCCCGTCTCATAAAGAGCTTCCAAATTCCCTCACCGCCAGTTCCTATATTTAGGTCTGCCGCCGCCGCCGCCTTAGCTCACTCAGAGTCCGTGAGCGGATCACCCCGAGATGCAACAGCGGCAGATGACGCAGTGGCAACAAGTCGCAGTCACAGTACTGTAGATGCAGGCCATGGTCATAGCACTGTAGGCGTAGGCCACGGTCACAGCTTTACAACGACAGCTGAGAATCGCAACAACACCAAGCGACGCATAAGCGTAGCGTTTCCGAACCATTGCATGGTAGGCACGTCCGTAGGAGACACGGAGCCCGCCGCGATGGCCGCAGCAGAGGGGCAGCTGCCTAAGAAGGCGCCCCCGACGGCAAAGGCTGCACCGAAGGTTCTTGCAGCGCCGGACCCTGGCCACAGTGCCATGGCGAAGTCACCAGCGGTCGGCCACAGTGCCGCACCGGCAGGAGGCACCTTTTCCGCGCCTGCGCCTAAGGCGCCGCCTGGAAGTGGATTGCCCAAGAAGGCGCCTCCCACGGAGAAGGCCAGGCCTGGGGATAGCCCAGGAATCCCGCCAGCAGCTCGTGCCACAGTGCACCCGAAGGAGATTGCAAGAGGGCACCGCGAGCTGGCCGAGTTTGATGCGGTTGTGAAGAAGGACCCGCATGGCAGGCCCCTGGTTATAATGGCAGGTGGAGGACCCCACGGTCCGGAGCTCGACACGCCTCTCCCAGCATCCGTGTATAATCCGGATTTGGCCTTGCAGCCGTATTATGCGGGGGACACAGCGAACCCGGACATCATTATTGATGTTTTTACCTGGGGCTATGAGCACCATGCCTGGCTGCAACGCGTCAGAGGGAAGTGGACAGCAGCCGAGCTCTTCGCACAGCACGAAGAGATGGAAACGCATGCGACCACGACGTATGCATCTGCCACCAGCTATATGCTGGTGATGTTGGACATGGTGTGGCTAAAGGACGATCGCAAAGACGATCTGACGCCTGCCGAAGCCCAGCAGCGCAACGATG